CACTGAGCCATCTCCCCGGCCCCTGTTTCCCCAATTCTAAAGTGAAATTTCTAACTCTGGTTCTATACTCTTGTTTTTCCACTTTTGGGGATTGGAAACAGGACCTCATGTATGCTAGGCAGTTGATCTACCACTGAGCTACACCCCCAGCCTCAATTCAGGCTGTTAATATAGTTGGTTGCCTGTGGACTTTGAATAGCTAATTATCCCTCTTAGATACATACATAGCTAAGTGGAATGGAATGTTACAGTAGTGTGTAGAATGCTGTTATAAGTGATTAACTATTGAGGATTGGGGCTGGGGATTTGGCTCAGCGGTAGAATGCTTGCCTGGCAAGCTGGAAGCCCTGGGTTTGGTCCTCAGCATCAAAAACAAAAAATAAACCTCTCCTAAAAGAACAGTTCAACCAAAAAAGTACGGTAAAATAAAAAAGACCAATAACTATTGAGGATTTATTCATATATATTTTAATATTCATTTTTTTGAGACAGGATCTCGCTGTGTACTACCATATGTACTACCATGCTTGACCTCATTTAATTTGAACAAACTTTAATTAGCCTACTTTATATAAGCTACTGTGTGAACAGAGTATGTAAGGTTGAGAGTGGTGATTATCAAATATGACAAATATCACATATGGGAATTGAAGTTCTGCCATTCAAACAGTCATTCAGAATTTCTTTGGAGGTATAGGCACATACATAATACTGACAAGCAAATACATTAAAATACTGCTTTTAGTTTTTTGTGTGTTATTGCTGGGGCTGCAACTCAGGACAAGGACACTAAGCAAACATTCTGTCACTGAACTGTACCCCAGCTTCTGTTTTCATAGTTGAGCTTTAGTAAGCTTGATACTGTTTAGTTGTAGCCAGAGCTGCCTTGGAAGGGCAGTAACTCAGCAACGGTCATCATGGCAGCTGTATGCAGAGCTGTGAGTCTCGGCTTTGTGCCTCCAGTGCATTGCACAGTCAGAGCAGGGAGCCAGTGGAGTCGGGAGCTGCTCTTGCACTTGGGCTTTTTCCTGTAGAAATTTGTGCTAAGAGGTGGCATACCACTTTGCCAGCATAAAATGTTTTTTGTGGTGTGCTTAGATGAGTAGAGAATTAGAACGGTGGAGAGCTAAATCTAAGCATGGTGCTGTGTTGTGTGGAGGGATCATAAGGCTTTCTTTTCTCTGTCTTCAGCGTGGAATTAGACAAAAATAGCCAATACTCAATTTTTTTTTTTTTTTTTGCGGAACTGGGGATTAAACTCAGACCCTTGTGCTTGCTAGGGAAGCGGTTATTCCACTGAGCCATCTCCCCGGCCCCCTCAATTTTTAGACTATATTTACACATAAACATATCTACATGGTAGTTTTCATTATATATCCTGGGAATATTTTTCCAAGTAGTGTGAATTTGTTGAAATTTTTTTTTTCCATAATTTTATTGATAAATAGCAATGAGTTTCAAGTCAAATTGGTAGGACAGTTTCAATAATTAACACATTGCATAC